AATATCAAAGAAACAGTGGTGGATAACATTTATTGCACTGAGCTTCCCTGCCTGGAGTTATCCCGCAGCGAGTTGCCCCATGGTGAATTAGCCGTGGTGAGATGGCCATGGCAAGTTGGCTATGCCGAGTTGTCCTAGACCTGCCGAGACAGCCCAGGAATAGGGCCATGCTGGAGGAACAGGCCCACTTCTCAATGTTCAGCCTTGAACCTTTCAGCTAAGGAGCACAATACAGCACAGCTTTCTTTCATGGCAAAAATGAGCATTCTGTGTGGTACACAGCATTCCTATGGTCTCGAAACACTTATTTATATCCCACCTTTATTATTTTTACAAATAACGCAAGGTGGCAAACATATTCAACACCTCCTCCTCCTCCTATTTTCCCCAACAACCCTGTGAGGTGAGTTGGGCTGGTGGGTTGGGCTGAGGAAAAAAGCACAAAGTCACTCAACTGGTTTTCATGGCTAAGGCAGGATTTGAACTCAGAGTCTCTTGGTTTCTAACCTGGTACCTTAACCTCTAGACCAGTGGTTCTCAACCTGTAGGTCGGGATCCCATTTGGGGTCAAACAACCATTTCACGGGGGTCACCAAACAACGCAGTCCGCCATTTTTTTCCCCTTTTCCTTAGCTGTGCTACTCCCTTTTATTCTATTGGCTTTTGAAAGCCAATAGAATAGACTCTCTTGAATAGAGTCTAATTCTATTGGCTTTCAAAAGCCAATAGGAATTTTCCAGGCTGTCTCTGCCCTGCTGAGCCCGCCAAAAGTCCTATTCTGCAAACGGTGCTGCACGTTGTCTGCAGCGAAGGCGAGCTGTCTGGAAGTTTCCACCCCTCCCTGCTGAGCAACTACTAAAAATGTAAGTAAAAGAGGGCCAGGGGTGGGAGGTGGGAGGCCGGCGGGCGCAGGGAGGGTTGCTGGCGCATGTGGGGCCCGGCGGGTGCCTTACCTCCCTTGGGCTGGGCCAGCTGGTGGCCCAGCCGGTGGTTGGCCTGCGCCGTCTCTGCCTCTTGCCAGCTACGCCTCAGCCGGCGCAGGGGGCGGCACCATGCATGCGTGGTGCTCCCGGGCAGGGAAAGTCCTCAACTTACGACTGACTGGGTAGTCCCCAACTTACGACCGGTTGGGTAGTCCTTGACTTATGACCGGTTGGGGGTCGCGGCATTAAAAAGGTTGAGAACCACTGCTCTAGACCAAAGTGACCCTCCAATTAGCTCAGCAGAAGCATTCTAACACACACACACAAAAGGCAAGACTCGAGTGCAAGCAGAGCTAAGTACCAAGAATGGGAATCTTGTTTCCAAATGAAAGATAAATTCTCCTGACTAAAGTTTATGAATTTCCACATCTGATGCAAACAGCTTGGTTTAATTTGAGAAGAAAATAAGTGCCTCTTAAGTTTATTGGGATGCTGTTTGATGACAAAGCTGGCATAGGGCGAGGTATTGCCGGGGACTCGAATTTGCTAATCCACAACTTTCATATCTTCCTCTCCAAGAAAGCATGATGTCCTCTGGATAATTTAGAGTAAACAATGCTTACAGATCCTTCCTTCAAAGGGCAGAATTAGCTGTTGTAACAAGTAGTGCTAATGAGAAAAGGAGCTATCAGAGGCCCCCATAAAGTGTAATACTTTTTAAAAAAGTATATAAACTGAGAGGAGACATTTTATGGTAACCCAATTTTTAGACATTTGGGGGGGGGGGTTGTTTGTAAAAATTTCCAGCTGTAATGGGTGAGAGAAGATCTCTCCCCCCCACACACATACCAGTTTTTACCCAGGTCTCAAATGGAACTCTGCACATGCTCGGGCCCAGAATATGTAAGTGAATTGAAGACTAGAGAGAAACCCTAACCCTAACCCATACATTTTGGAGAGGCTACATCATCTTACAAGAGGGACAGTTTTTTGGCAACAGCAAAATGGATTTAAATACAAAGCAGATGTGTTAAATTCATAAATTCTGCTTTTCTTTTCTTTTTTAAAGAGAGGCTTGTATTGATCATATAGCTGGGTCCTCCTACTGACATTCCTTTGGCCACCGTGGGCCCAGAGTATTGATCTAATGGGACCTCTCACCTGACCTAGCACGACTCTTCTGATGTTCCTGTGTTCCAGCAAGTTTTCTTCTCCCACACTGCTGGCTGATTTTGCCAAGAGCAGCCCAGTAATATTCTGCAAAGATTTACCTCACCCCTCGCACTCCGAGATGTTTTTCTTTCCACACTAAATTTTGAAATGGCGTCTCCATAGGCAGACGGGTTCACCAGCATAACCAGGAGCAAAGTTTTCTCTGGACTCAGAGCAAAGAAACCACGACAGACTCCACAGCAAGTCACTCAAATTGGGCCTCTGCCAAGATGGGGAAAAGTCTTTCCAGAGAGCATTTAAAGGGAGGAAAAAAGAGATTCCAGTCCACATTCAATTGATTGAAATAAATGAGATTACGGTTCGGGCCTTTTGTCTGGTAATGGTGCCACCATCAACTTCTTTAATATGGAACATTCAGTGTCTATTATAATTAATAATAGTTTAGATGTCAACACTCTGGTGAATCAGATAGCATATAAATGTTTGCAACAAATAGGTTTTATCACAAGCTAAGCCAATGTTCTTGCCCAGGGAACTTCTTCCACCAGTCATGCTAAAATGAATGGGGACTATATGGCAACACCGTTATTGGAAAATTGAGTCTAGGAATATGAAAGCTCCTGTATTCGTCAGCTGTTTATTCTTGCAGAAGGAGTCGTTGAACTTGGCAACTCTCTTTCTGGAATATTTAATTCCAGATTCCTCAGGATGTTCCAGAAATAACAATATTATGCTATTGTTCTGATACGTATCCTTTAACAATTCTCGATTTATAAAAGAATGGTAAACTGCTCCAGAAAATGTTCTTAGAAAGTGTTTTTCTTCACACACACACACCCGCTGCTGCTCTTAATTTGCCAAGACTAAGCTAGAATCAGTTTGGAATCAGAATTGCCTGCAAGCACACAGATTATGTTTGCACTGGAACCCAAAGGTTTCATAGCGCCAAACTTCAGAAGGCACTGATCTGCAACAAAATGGAGCTTTAGTTTTCTGGCAGACCCTTGTCTTGTAGAAACATCTGGACCACAGCATTCCATGATGATTACCCATGCACACCCACTCATCTATGTTGTGGTTTCTAAATTGGAATTTTTTATTTAACTACCTTCACAGCTTCCCCCCCCCCATCCATAGCTGATCTTATCCACTTAATTGCTCTGTATTCCAATATACTTAGCTATGCAAACCCACCTGCCATATCGCAACTTCTTCATACCTAGCCTTGTCCTAATGCTATGGAAAAACATTAATTGTATCATATGAGATCCCCAAACCTTTGACCTTTTTGGTATAACTTTGAAAAATGGTGGCCCAACAAGATAGGATCTGGGTTTCCTAACCCAACAGTGCTTGGAAGAATTACTATGTTTTGGGCAAGCCATGATGTTAAAGCTTTGGAAGACACCAAAGTATCCCCATGCTATCCCTCAGTAAAGAGCCAAAATGTGGTTTTGCAAAATGTGCATTCACTTCACACAGAAGGTGAGATTACCTAAATACTTGGAAAGGTAAAGAAGTATATTGTGTTCATCTTTTTTGGGGGGGATTCATATTCAACATGTTTATAATTTCATTAATCCCACATCAATATTTTTGGATAAAAGACTATTATTCTACTACAATGAAATGTGCTATACAGTTAGAAAAAAATCACAAATTTTGTTTCTTACAATTATTTTTAAAACCTCCATTAAAATTGGTGATGTGAGTCGAGACATGAATGGGCACCATGAAGGAGATAAGGAGAACCACAAGATTTTAAAAAAAGAACAAAGAAAGGGAGCTTTGATAAATTCAGAGTTCAGATGTAAAGGACGGGTTGCATTAATGGCAGGATCATGGGATGAAGCATCTGCGTCTGATGTGTTTGATGACTAAGGTTTGTAAAAGTAGATTCGTAAAAGTAGAATACTATATTAAATTGGTGGGATCTTGCAGACTTTAGATACCTTCTTTCAGAATGAACACAAATCTTGCTAGATTAAGCCAGGGGTTCCCAACCTTTCTGGGTTGGTGGCCCAGTGGGAAAGGGAAGGGCAGGCACCTTTTATGTGCGGATGCGCACAGACGCAAATGTAGCCGTGAGTATGCAGGCTCCGCAAATGGGACTGCTAGCACCAGTGCGATGCTTGCGGTAACGCTAGCACCGGCAAGAGGGGGTGAGCATGCACATATGCACATGTGCACTGGCCAGCCACTCACACGGCCTGGTGGCCAAGAGGCCATGACCTGGAAGTGGGCTGCAGCCCGTAGGTTGGGGACCTCTGGATTAAGCGATACATGCTCCAATTTTTGACAGAAGAGGTCCCAGAGACATATACAGCAGTGGCCAAAATTGTGGAAACCTTTTGGGAAAAGTATACAGTAGAAATGCCACCCTTGGTTAAATTTCCACCAATTTTTCTTCTAATTTCTTTATAACTGTAGCCTTGTTCACTTAATAATACTATTTGACATCGCTTTCTGGGCAACCAGTCAACTCTTTGCACCATTACTTTAATTTTATTACGTTTTACAAGCTCACTAAATGACAGAACACAAAAAAACCCAACCAACTTGATAGCGATCACATAACACACTGACAAATGTTCTCCTCTCAGCTTCAATACATGACTTCAATAACTGAATCCTACTGTGATCTGACTGGCTCATTGCCAAAACAAGATGACACCTGATTGGCTCTCTAAACACTCATGCTCATTGGCTACAATCAGATGAAGGAAAGCTACCTGATATCAACCTAAGCAAGTTGTGCTTCCTTTTTCTAGTTATTTGGCTATAACTTTTCATAGAATACAGTACAGATAATTGAACAAACTTTGTTGCATTACATTCTTGATTAAATTATCTTTCCATTGATATATACTTTTATGGTACTATTCCAAAAAAAGTGGTGTTATTAGCCATCAAACCTCAAAAATACACTTTCCCCAAAAGGTTTCCACAATTTTGGCCACTACTGTAGTTCATTTGTATGCCAAATTTGTAGAATTGCTGAACCTTTCTGACAGCTAAGAATAAGAAGCTGAGTGCTATGTTTCTGAATTTCTAACTGTTTTAGCCTATTTGGCATTCAGAACAGCTTATCAACATGTTCCAATATATTTTAAACCAATCACTTATTTTACTGATTTATTGCTTTTTAAAACTTTATAATACATGTCTTTCATTCTGATCAATGAAGGCGAAACATCTGCCAGAAAGTACATTCAACTAAAGAGAGATCAGATATTTTCCTTATATAAGGAAGTTTTTTTTGTAAATACTGTTCACTCTTCCTGGTAAAAATGGAAAGGGTTTAAACTATTTAAGAAACGAATGCTGAAGCAAGCAAGTTTTGCTTGCTCAAACATGCTAAGGCACATAAAATAAAACCAGTCAATGAATCTTGACAACTGCAGAGAATCTCTTAATGGGACAAAAGGAATTTTAAAATGGGTGGGAAGGACCTATAGAGAAGTTTATTTATTTAAATAGTATTCGTATTGTTTTAATTCAAATGCAGATTAAACAAAATCTTCAATGTCATAGGATTGGATTTGCAACAGTTTATACACGAGATTTTAAAAAGCATTAAATTATTGTGTTGAAACAATTATGTGACTTTTTAAAAGTATCTTTTCACAGTCATAGAATGTGTTATGTTTGCAGTACCAAAGAGGACAGTGAATTTCTAGATCTAAAATTCCACTACCCCTAAAATTCATTTAACTTGGGGCATTTGTTTTCTTTCTTTCAGGCCTACTGGACAGGGCCATTGTGAGATTATATCAGGAGATAATGTTCTCCTACACTTCTTTAAGAAAAAGTAAAAAGAAATGTGCATGAGTAACAAAGAAAGCTAGGATCAATTGTCCTAGACAATTAGTTCTGTGGCAGTTAAGGTGCTAAACCTGCTTAAAGCAATCCTGATGCAGTTTAATTTCCTCATCAACATTTATTGCAACAGGAAAAATGAGTCAATGGAACAGCAAAGGTGATAACCTCAAATGGACTATAGTTAGAAAAAGGCTGTTTATGTGGATTTGAGGCACAAATGGTTTGATTCTTTAATCTTTGTCTCAGTCTCTCCTTCCAATCTGTGCCTTGTGAAAATCTATTCACTTAAGCCATACACCATTTCTTCAAAATAAGTTTTGAATATGAAAAGTGATTTATCAGACAAGACACAGACCAAAAAAAAATGTGCAAAAGCACAATTTCACAGAAGGAAACTGTTTACTTCCCATTATACTATTAAATAAAAGCAGGACTATGAAGAGCTAAGCAGACAAAGGACCATAAAAGAGATTTCTGATCTGTTGTGATGGAGAAACTTCAAGTCAGTCAATTACATGCCAGGGAAAGAGAACTCAAGATAATTCCAAGGGATGTATGTGCTATGGAGCTATCCTAGATCAGTGGTTCTCAACCTGTGGGTCGGGACCCCATTTGGGGTCGAACGACCATTTCACGGGGGTCGCCAAACAAGGCTGTCCGCCATTTTCTCCCCCTTTTCTTTGGCCATGCCCCTGGCACCCAGTGATGTATAAGTGGTTGGGGGGTCACCACAACATGGGGAACTGTATTATGGGGTCGCGGCATTAGAAAGGTTGAGAACTACTGTCCTAGAGCATCATGCAACCTGAATCCTATTTGTTCCAGTGTCCCTAAAAATCTCAGACTCGGTTAATTGGTTCAGGAATTGCTTTCAAATCTTGAGCAAAGTTCATTAGATATGACACACATAAAAGGGATAAAGTAGCGCCAGAGGAAGGCACAGATTTTCTGTGACTTATCTTTTAGGTTTTACCTTTTTTTTCCTTTCACCCTGTTTTTGGATCTCTCTCTCTCTCTCTCTCAAACCCTTTCTCTCCTGGCTTGGCATATTTCAGGAAATATTAAGGACTATTTGGTGACTGTGGTTGGATTGGGTGTCTCCGCACAACATTGTAGCGCTTCTTATAAAACCAGTCTCAGGGGAAGGCTTTTCTTTAAGTCAGCAATTCTCCATCAGACGTGAATCCTGCCAAGCCTCATTCGGAAAACGATGTGGGATTCGGTGGGGGACTTTTCCAGAAGAGGGCTCCGAACCTGGGAACCGGGTGATCCTGGCCTTGGAGACATCTTTCTTCCTCCTGCTCCTGCATGCTCAGCGCACTATTTCAGTTCTTTCAGTCACCCTTTGACTTCGGTTTGGATGTGGCAGTGCTGACTCACAGCACCACTGAGGGTTCCTGCAGAGAAGTCATGTCTAACCACTCCACAAATGAAGTTTTTGCTGGCTGTGAGCGTTGCTTGGCTGTCTCCAGTTCGTATCATTGCCCATTCTGAAACAGGAAGTCCCAAGCTGCTCTCAGCTGTATTTATGCAATCTTTTGGTTGTGCTTTTACGCCTACATTTTCAGTTCAGGCTGAGCGTCAAACCGGTTGAAAATGCATTCTTCTTACTCGGTGTCTGAGCCCAGTGAGCCAAGATATACTTTCGTGGTGGCCATCCTGGGCTGAGGTTTCTTCTCATTAGTATGTGTTGCCCTCTTCCTTCTAAATAATAAAGATAATAATTAAAACCATAATGCAGAGGTCTTAACACTTCATTTCATTGTTTCTAGACATTTGGAGACCCTCTATTACTGGAAATGTTAAAATGATCTTGGTGACTTTTGCCCATTATTCATCAGATTAAGAGGTATCTATCAGCCCTGAGGGAAATGATATTTAGTAAAACAATGAGCTCTGTAGGATTTAAAATTTAAATCCACAGGACAGATTGATATTCCATGCTGATGTTATAACCCCAAGGTAGGTCATCTTAAAACCCTTCCCTTAGATGATGGCTTCTAACAAAGCATGTTAGATGTACAAACATTCAGAAAGGAAACTTGTCTTCAGTTTAGTAGGATGGATTCTTTTTTCAACACCTCAATACTCTAAGGTATTTAGCATTCCATTCTCTTGAACACAGCATTTATCGAATTACAAAAGATATATGTCTTATGATGCTCTGATTTTATATTAGAAATGTATATATCTATTTACGAGTTTAACATGCATCTTCCAGCAACAAGGCTAACAAGAGATTAAAACATATCACATTTCCCCGAAAGTAAGACCCGGTCTTACTTTCTTTTGGGCTCTAAAATAAGCATTAGGACTTACTTTCGGGTAGGGCTTACTTTTAAGGCTGCGAGAGCACGGGGGTGGGGTATGTGCACGGGGTGGAGACGCAACACGGCAAGAGCGTGGTGGCAGACCAAGTACCAGGGCGAGCAGGCAGTGCTTTGGAAACAAACAGGGAAAAACATTTTTTCCCCACCTAACTTTTTCCGTTTTTTCCCCAGGGCTTCCCATCTCCAGTTAGGATTGGGGGGGGAGTGGGGGTTAGGGTTACCGTAGGCATGGGAGACCTGGCTACAGCCTCATGTGGGTCAGATGGGGAGATCCACCTAGCCTCCTGGCAGCGGCATTGGGCGCAACGTGCAAGGTGGCAAACGGCTGCGGCCGGCCGAAACTGGCCATGGAACAAGCCGGGTGGCAGTAAGGAACTGGTATACCGTTGGTTAGCGGGGCACGTGGGTCAGATCCCTTCTTCCCCACAGGCTTCACCTTGTTGCAGAGGCACTGGCAGCTCCCTCCTTTGTATCTATGGTAGAAACCAGACGGAAGCAGTGGCCAGCCATCTGTGCAGGCTTTTAAGTAGGACTTACTTTCAGGGGGAGGACTTATATTAGGCCCACTCCCCAAAAATGCGATGGGGCTTACTTTTGAGGGAAAACACGGTAATAACATTATTGTCCTTCCATAGGACATCTGTAAGTAAATCCCTATTGCATAGTGTTCCCTGAAGAACACTGATAGATCTGTAGATCTCCCTGGCCTTATGTAACTTCAGTCATCATGACTCTACCATCAAAAAAGCAGTGGTGAAGTTCAAGAAAGTTCAAATGGAGTTCAAGGAAGAACAACAAAAAGCCCTTGATTGCTCCTAAAAAGAACACTGAAGCTCATTTCAAGTTTATTAAGAAGCACTTTGAAACCATTTGTAGAAATATTCTATAGGCAGATGAGTCAAAAGTGGAACTTGGGGGCTAAATGGTTGTTAATGTTAGAAACTTCCTAAATGCTACTAAGCTGAAGCCTGTTGCCGTGGTGGAATGGGCATCATGCACAGTTGATGCTGCAGGGCGCGGGCAGAGGGCGTGACTGCCATAGTGCTACTGGGCCGCCTGGGCAATCTGCGGCGGGCCCTGGAGGTGGTGAGTGGTCCTGCAGGCAGGCGGGATGGGGAATGGGGGGTGGAGCAGGGGCGGGGCTAGTTTTTGAGCACTCGGTTTCTAAAAGGTTTGCCTTCACTGCACTAGAGGATACGTAGTATCAGCCTGGCTGATGGAATCCAAAACAGATGAAGATTAGGATAAGAAAGACCATCCCAATAGCCTAAAGATTGGAAAGATGGCAGGATGAAGACAATCAGACTACCGACAGTAAAAATACTTAACAGGAGGAACAAGTTTCTATCTCTCTCCTCACCAAATTCGAGCCTGTGTATTTGGACATGTTGCCTTTTTTTGGGGGGGGGGTGTTCAGTTTTGAATTCTAAAAATAATAGATACTGTTATAGCACAAACAATTACTTTCTCAGATTAATCTACAGCCCTGGCATTTCCTGATGGTGTCCCATCCAAATACTAACCAGGTTTGAGACTGCTTAAGTTTTTGTGATGAGACAAGATTGGATAAGTGCTGCCATCTAGCTGGACCAAAGAATAAATTTTCCATTATAAGAGTGGTAATTTTTTTTATATCTCAGAAAACATAGATTTTTGTGATGCAGCCAACATTTAATCAGATTGGTTCTTTAGAAATAAGCACAATATAATGGAATCTATAAAATAAAGTAGTAAGATTTTTTTTTTAAAAAAAAAAAATAGATCTCCTCCTCCTCCCATCAATGTATTTCCTTACAATTAAGTGATATGTGGAAAGAGAAATTTGGCCATGGGGTAATGATGGAATTAGCACTTAATATGAATGTAATTCATATTTCAGTTGCAAACAAGATTACAAACTGCTTCCCTCTATTCCCTCCAGCAGCTATTGAAAGAAAAGGGTAATTGGACTCATTAGATCCCAGTTCCCCCCACTTTTTTTTAAAAAAAATTGATTGTTTCAGTTAGCTCTGTCTTTTACCCAACAAAATTAAATTCTTTTTTTTTTTTAAAGTCAATTTAGCACGATTGGGAATGCCAAAACACATGCTACTTTTTTTCTGGGATCCATTTTCTCCCTCAACTTCTATTATAATTTAATTTTGCTGCTGGTTCCAGCCAATCTTTATTTTTAGAAAGTTGATTTTATTCAATGTTAACTTTACCCCCACATACTCATGGAGTGAAGGAGACAGCTGCTTTGACATTATTAAATTTTGTATTCCCCTCTTGGATGTATAAAAATGCATGCTGTGGGGCGTGTGGGAAGAGCACTTACAACTTCTTTAGAGTGTCTTGTTTTTCCTGTTGAGTCAGGGAAATCTGGCATTTTCTAGCTTCAGTTGAACCTTGAAAATATTCAGACACCTTGGTGAATAGATTCTCCTCCTATCCAAAAAAACAAAACCCCAATACCAGTTTTTGAAACACAAATCCATTATTTTATTTTATTTTACTTAATCCAAACGTTACACAATACCGGTGCTCTTCATTATAGTTTCAAATGCCAACAAGCAAATCTGAAGAGAAACAAACTCAATTCTGTGAAATGCTTTCTGCATCGCTTGCAATACTCTTTGGCTGTACATTTTTTAGCTATTAAACCGAACCACAAATAAATATGATCCATAAACCTGACTCCAGTCATACTAAGAAATTGTTGGGAAATACTTGGTGCCTGCATGGCTCAAATTATGACATTTATCAGAAGTCTGTAAAACAGTCAGAAGCATACTTCACCAATTATTATTAAAGAAATTGGATGGCGTGGTAAATGACTCTCTTAATATTCCTGTTATCGCCTACGGGATACTGTAATACGATGTTACCTCCACATTTATATTTCACGCTAAGACTGACTAAACAGTGGAAAGATGTATCCAGGGGTATCACATACATAATCTTATGCTAGCAGAAGTTTTCCATTTGTATTTCTATCTTATATTAGAATAGAATAGAATAGAGCTGGAAGGGACCTTGGAGGTCTTCTAGTCCAGCCCCCTGATCAAGCAGGAGAACCTATACCATCAGACAAGTGATTGTGCAGTCTCTTCTTAGAAATCTCCAGTGATGGAGCGCCCACGATTTCTGGAGGCAAGCTGTTCCACTGGTTAATTGTCCTCACTGTTAAGAAGTTTCTCCTTAATTCCAGGTTGCTTGTCTCTTTGATTAGTTTCCAACCATTGTTTCTTGTCCTGCCCTCTGGTGCTTTGGAGAATAGTTTTACCCCCTCGTCCTTATGGCAGCCCCTTAAATATTGGAATACTGCTATCATGTCACCCCTATTTCTTTTCTTTAGACTAGCCAAACCCAAGTCCTGCAGCCATTCTTCATATGTTTTAGTCTCCAGGCCTTTGATCATCATCCTATATATTATATGGTTGTGAAAACATCATTAACCACTATACACACTCCCTATAACACATCTGGTACACACACACATCAGGGGAACAAAAAATGGCCAACTCCATGGGACCCATATTCACCGCTCACTTGTGGGTGGTAATTGCCCAAGATGAGATTTCAGTGGCACTCGATACCATGATTAAGGTGTGTAAAATACAACCAGATCATGAGCATAATCTACGAGGGTTGAGGGATTCCATTTTAACTACAATTTAATCTATGGTTTGGGGTTTAAAACCTCATCCTAAGCCTAATTATACCATGCCTAAGAATAGAGTGCCAGCCAGGTAAATCTATCCATGTATCCGAACAGTACATAAATATCAATGTACTGTTACATTTCATTGAAGAGAAGCAAGATAAGTTGCCATTAATGCATTTTCTCACCTTCTGGCTTCTATTTATATGCTCTACTATTCTATTAGTTACAACCTGACACTACTCTACCCTAGCCACCTACCATCTCTGAGCACTTCAAGATCATTCTCTCAGCCCCATATTCTCATGCTTGAACTAAATGGGAGGCAAGGAACAAATCAATACATAATATGGTCAACTGAATGCATTCTTTAGAACTCAACACAAAAGCAAATGTAGCATCTATGGTGACAGGTGGAACAAATGCAACAAACACATTCAGCAGTTCTTACTTGGTTCCTCAGATCTGAATAACTACCCAACTAAGTTCGTACAACTGGAAAGTAGAAAGGTAAAAATGGCCTTAAATGTTTTCCACCAAACCTCAGTTGTGGCATATGGCAAACCCACTTTTGAAATCTATGACATATTGGTGTGGCTTTCACCAAGACAGTTAACCCATAACTCAGGGGTGCGAGACAATATTCCAGGGGGTGCAGTTTCAAAATTATAGTGTATATGCATAATTCGTTGCCGTTATTTTGAACTTTTGTAAGGGGTGTGAGAATATATCAGAAGCGTTCTAGGGGTGCAGGGTATGGAAAAGTTTGGGAATCATTGCCATAACTGAAATGTATTACTTAAAACTTCAGGAGAGTGTCTTATATGGCTGAATGTTATCCTTAACGAGTCATGACATGAGGAAAACACCATATGGGTGCCACATGGATAGTTTTTTTTGTATTATGATTTTAATGCAATTTTGGGGAGGGCTCTGAATTTGAACGCAATAACTGTGTAGAGGGAAGACACAATGTTCAATCTTTTTTCATGTAATCCATTTTCACAAACAAAACTGCTCCTTCTCTCAAGATGTTTTTTTTTTTTTTCCATTCAAGAAAGAAAGCTTGATTTCTTTTTGTGTCTGAAGGGGAAAAAAAAAATTCTCGGGATTTATTTTGATCATAAATTAAGCCTATAGGAAAGGGCTGACATATCTATCTTCCCCTGTTGTTCCATTCAAAGTTTAGGAAAACCCTGTCAAGATATTTCCTGTGACTCTCCCACGGTCCTAGTAAACATGAGTAAGACTCTTCAAGGACAGTTGATAAAGCTTATAATTTCACCTGCTGCCTCCATCTGCTTTGAAATTAATTGTTTATGGCTGAAACTGGCAGTGTAAAGAAAAATAATTGCCCAGTTTTTATAAAAAAGAGGCAAAAAAGAGTTAATGTTTTGCAAAATAACAGAAAAAAATATCTCTGTGTGAAACACTTCCCAACATGTCCTGCAAGTGCAGTAGATTTTTCCCTCAAAGCCACACCCTGCCTGTGTTATATTTTGAGAACTGAACAATTAATGTAAGGAATGTGAGTCATTCTCTGAATGACACTGTGAGAACTAAAGAGTCTCATTTTTAAGAGGGATATAAATTGTCTGAAAAATAGAACAACTCCATAATAAAGACAACAATTAAACAGAACAGACATTTCATATAATACCCATTATGGCATTAACAATGATATTTCCATAATTAATGAACTGGGAGATCAGGGAGGCAGAGATGAATGAATACAAAGTTAAGGGGATTTGTTTTGAGAATACAATTGCTTATTTCCTGTGGGAATTACATGGCTTGCAAAAAAGAAAGAAAATATAACATGAATTCTTATCCTGCCCAGTAAACTCAAATTCTTTTACTTATCTAAATTCTCTTTCTCTGACACACATGCACAGGGAGAAAGAGAGAGCGTACAAGAGACATAAAAAAGGCCTATAGAGATAACCATTATAGGAACCGTTAACATGGCATAAAAAAAACTAGAAAAGGGAAATATTAACGGCTGGGAACAATAAGGTTGTAAAGAAGGGGATTGTTTTGATATCATGTCTACTTTACCCTCTTAGTAGCTGACCTATGCAGGAAGTCAGTTTAGGAACATGTGACCCTAACAGTTCTGGATTTCTCAGTGACCCAGATAACATTCTAGATCAGAGTTCCCCAATATTTTGGGCATCAGGGGCCGGTTCTGTGGAGAGAGGTTTTTCCGTGGGACTGGAGGGGGTGTGGCTTTGTGTGTTGCCTGCATCCTGCAGATGGGGCTTTGCTTGTTTGTGCGGACCGGTTGCTGGCATGCTGCGGACCGGTACTGGTCCATGGACTGGGGGTTGGAGACCCCTGTTCTAGATCATTTGGCAGACTTGGGCCTCAGAGGCACTGAGTGTTGAACAGAAAAGCAGGGGGAATATATCCCATAATTATATTCTAAGTATTTCCCTGATCAGTTCTTCCATCTTACCATACAGTAGTGGCCAAAATTGTGGAAAGCTTTTGGGAAAAGTGTATTTTTGAGGTTTGATGGCTAATAACACCACTTTTTTTTGGAGTAGCACCATAAAATTATATATTAATGGAAAGATAATTTAATCAAGAATGTAATGCAACATAGTTTGTTCAATTATCTGTACTGTATTCTATGAAAAGTTATAGCCAAATAACAAAAAAAAGGTTGATATCAGGTAGCTTTCCTTTGTCTGATTGTAGCCAATGAGCATGAGTGTTTAGAGAGCCAATCAGGTGTCATCTTGTTTTAGCAATGAGCCAATCAGATCACAGTAGGATTCAGTTATTGATGTCATGTATTGAAGCTGAGAGGAGGACATTTGTCAGTGTGTCAATTGGTTCAGGTTTTTTTGTGTTCTTTCATTTAGTGAGCTTGTAAAACGTAATAAAATTAAAGGAATGGTGCAAAGAGTTGACTGGTCGCCCAGAAAGCGATGTAAGATAGTATTATTAAGTGAACAAAGCTACAGTTATAAAGAAATTAGAAGAAAAATTGGTGGAAACTTAACCAAAGGTGGCATTTCTACTGTACACATTTCCCAAAATGTTTCCACAATTTTGGCCACTACTGTACAATCAGAGATACTGTGGTCAATCAAGAAAAGAGTGTTTGTAGAAAATTAATTTATAATTCAAGGAATATATTCGTTTGTCAAATAAATGAAAATGCACCATCTACCCAAATCAGAACAAAGATATTCATCTTCCACCATTGTGTTTCCCTTAATTCGGAAAATTCCATAAAAAGTAGTAGCACAAATGTCACAGATGCTGATTGCAAAGGGCCAATCACTTTACTGATGATAAATGACATCCCTTGGTCCTCACCCCCCCCCCCCGCTTGCATTAGACTATGTTTCTAACATAACCATTTAATCTGGAGATTCGCACAGCCTTCAAAGAAGAGAACCATCTGATCAATCTCAAGAGTGACAAAACCTCTTCTTGTCCTCAGACTCTCGCATTCACCTCTTGACATTGCTTGGAAATTTTTGCTGAAAAGCTATAGCTAAGCTGCAAAATATAAGATGTATGTCAGATTTCAAAGCTACCAAACTCACGCCACTCCTTCTCCATCAGACTGAGCTTTGTTTTCTGTTCAATGGAATAGATTCATTGGCAGGCAGAAAGAGGGCTGTGCACTGGTGAATACTTAGTTTGAAATAGTTTGAAATTCTAATAAGGATTTCCATGGATGGCTGGGCTTGCACATCTTAAGCAAGGGACATCTTGAGGATTCAATAACTGAACAATGGATTCTGTCCTATTGTGTCTATTTGCA